TACCACCTTGCTAAATGGGATATGTTTCAAACAGATCTCAACTTAAGACTGGGCATCCATGTGCTGCTGTGGCCCATCAGCTACAGCAGAATTGTGTTCAGCTGCAGTCTGTAATCTCATGGGCCAGCATGCCTCTACTATTGCTACCAAATTGAAGGATCAACCTGGGTCTAATATGAAGTGCAGGAGGGAATGCAAGGATTTGCACCAGGTATACCTAAAAATGAGGTATCAAACAACACAGGACTACTCACATGTTGAACAGCAAACTCAGCATGCCATAGGCACTAAAAATGTTGGAAGTAAAGGAACAGGAGTTGGCCATGGACCTGCTCCAGAACTTAATACAATCATAGCTAGTTGTAATCCTCCATGCTCTTTACCCATGTTATCTTCATTACTGTATATACTATTGGTAATCAGAAATCTATCAATTTCTATTTTCAATTCACTCAAAGGCTGAGCTTCCACAGTCGCTTGGGGAGCTCCAAACATTTACAATCCTCTGTGTTAATAAAATTCTCTTATACTCAGTCCTCAATGGTCTCCCTTTTTTAAAAAAAATTGTGCTCCTGTTGTAAGCTCCCCAATCATGAGAAACATCTTATCTGCATCTACCCTGTCTATCCCTTCCATTATTTAGTAGGTATCAACGAGCTACTCGTTATTTAAAACTGTAGAGAATGTGGCCAATTTACCCAATCTTTCTCCATGTTGTCACGTGGATAATCAGTCCTGAAATACCCAGCTTCACAATGCCCAGCTTCACAATGCCCAGCTTCACAATGCCCATCTTCACAATGCCCATCTTCACAATGCCCATCTTTAGCCAATTCAATTCACTTTACATAATAATGCTAAAGACATTAGACTGTGTTCATACTTTGAGACCTGATTAACATTCCAACAACGATGCTCATGATTGATGCTCCAGGACTAGCTATAGAATGAGAAATTTAGGGGAGGCGACAGCCTAGTGGCATTATCATTGGACTGTTGATCTGGAGATCCAGATAATATTCTTGGGACCTGGGTTCGAATCCCACCATGGCAGATGGTGGAATTTGAATTCAATTTTTAAAAAAATCTGTAATTCAGAATCTAATGATGACCATGAATGCATTGTCAATTGTTGGGAAAGGCCATCTGGTTCACTAATGTCCTTTAGGGAAGGAAACTGCCATCGTTACCTGGTCTGGCCTACATGTGACTCCAGACCCACAGCAATGTGGTTGATTCTGAACTGCCCTCTGGGCAATTAGGGATGAGCAATAAGTGCTGCCTAGCCAGCAATGCCCACATCCCATTAATGAATAAAAACATTTCTGCTATTTACTGTCCATAAAAAGCAGGGCGAATCCAACCCAGGCACCTAAGTTCCCATGTGTCCACTTTTGGTTGTAAGTAAAGTGCTGAAGGAGGGATTGGCAATGCTGAGAAAAATGGCAATAACCTGCTTACAGATGTTATATTAGTGTTCCACCACAGTCATTTGGTTCCTGATCTCAACACAACCATTGTCCAAATGTGAACGAAACAGCTGAAGAAGAAAAGTTAAGGGTGATTGTCATTGATGTCAAAATATTTGACTAGTTGTAGCATCAAGGAGCCTGAGCAGAACTAAAGTCAGTGGGAATCAGGAGTGATAACTCTCCACTGGTTAGAGTCCTATCTCTCTCAAAGGAAAATTGTGATTATTGGAGCTAAATCATATCAGTTTAGGGACATTGCTACATGAGTTATTCAGGGGACTATCCTAGGCCCACCAATCTTCCTGTGCTCCTATCATAAAGTCAGCAGCAAGGATATTTTATAATGATGGCTCAAGTTTCCGTAACATCTGTAACTCCTTTGATACTGCAGTAATTTGTGTCATATGCAGTAAGACCTGGACAACATTCCGTATTGGGCTAATGTATGATACATCTGTTACTTGCCACTCAACTGCCATTGACTGTCTCTACGAGAGAATGTATCCATTTGACCTTGCCATTCAATGCCATTACCATCATTGAACCCTCCCTATCAACATTTTGGTTGGGGGGCTGGTGGGGGTTTACCATTAATGATAAACTGAACTATAAACACTGTGCCTACATGAGCGGGTCAGAGGTTAGGAATTCTGTGGGAGATAACTTACCACCTACTGGGAACATGCTGCAGTGCTATCTCTTTGTCTGGACACGTGTAGCCCCAACAACACTTAAAAAGCTCAGCACCATCCAGGACAAAATATCCTTCTTCATTGACACTATGTCCATTACTGACATGAGGTGGTAACAGTATGTGCCATCTGCATGATGCACTCTATAAATTTACCGCAGTTCCTTCTATAACATGTTCCAAATCTGTAATCTCTACCACTCAGAAGGTCTGGTCATGGATGCAAGTGAATTTAATCTACAAGTTCTCCTCCAACCCCCATAATATCCTGACTTGGAACTGTATCCTGATTTCTTTGCTGTCAAAATCCTAGAATTCCCTTCCTTACTAGCACTGTAAGTGTACTTACCTTCACAGATGCTGTGGTTCAAGTGGGTGGCTTGATACCAGCCTCAAATAATTGGGGATCGGCAATTAGTGCTTGCCAAGTGACACCCACATCCTGTGGACAATTTAAAATATAGAAATCCATTAATTTCTACTATGCTTTCTATCATTTAACTAATCCTTTATTGATACTAATGTATTACCCCAACCCCCTTGAACCTTTGCCTTGTGCAACTGCATTTTGTATAACACCTTATCGATTATTTCTGACTAATTCAGTGATGTAAGTAGACCATGATCTGTTATGTATGTTAACAAAGGTTCCACATTGAATGCTTCTCCCTTCTTTCTTGTATTGCTACTTAACTAAGAAAGGAAGTAATGATGTTGCTTGTACATATGTGGGTATTTGATGGTTCCCATTTTTCAGATCCTCGCTCCCATGGAGAAGCATCTTTTTAATACTTATTTCAAGTTATGATTTGGTCCACTATTTGTTTTCTTTATTTGGACTTCCACAGGATTGTGGCATAACCAATCCCAAGCAAGTAGCTTTTTTTTAAAATAAAAAAATCTGAACCCTTCAGTGACCTTTTTTAAAAACTGAAAGAACTACGGATGCTGTAAATCAGGAATAAAAACAGAAGTTTCTTGGAAACGCTTGGCAGGTCTGGCAGCATCTGTGAAGAAAAATCAGAGTTAACGTTTCGGGTCTGGTGACCCTTCCTCAGAATAGAAAGGGAATGGTCACTGGACCCGAAATGTTAACTCTGATTTTTCTTCACAGTTGCTGCCAGACCTGCTGAGTTTTTTCCGTGACTTTTTTTTTTTTAAAAAGTCTTAAGATAAAACTGCTTAGAATGTTTTGGATTTTGAAAGACCTCCTAATTGTTTCATTAAAAGTTTGCTGTTTGTATAAACAGGACAGTCATCCTCAGCAAGATAAACAACAGACAACATGTGGCTGTTATGATAAGTAAGTAATGTGGCATCCAGTGCAATATTAAATAATTCAAACACTTTTAAAGAGGTAATCTCAAATTGTTATTTCAGTTTTTTAGATCAGATGCAAGCAAGGTTAAAGTCCTGTTGATTACCTTTGGATTTAAGATTTGGATGAAAATATAGCAAGCGTGGTTAGTGAGTTTGCCGATTACACCAAAATTGGTGATAGGTAGTGACAAAGGTTTTTTAAGATTACAAAGGGATCTTGATCAATTGGGCCAATGGGCTGAGGAGTAGCAGATTGAGTTTAATTTGAATAAATGAGGTATTGCATTTTGGTAAGACAAACAAGGGCAAGACTTGTACAGTTAATGGTAGGACCCAGGGTGGTGTTGTGGAACAGAGACACCTAGGAGTTCAGGTATATAGTTCATTGAAAGTTGCAACATGGTTTGGGTGGTAAAACAGACAATTGGCATGCTTGCCTTTATTGCTCAGACCGTTGAGTTGAGGAGTTGCGATGTCATAAAGTGGTTGTAAAGGATGCTGATGAGACTACTTTTGGAGTACTGTGTACAGTTCCGGTTGTCCTTCGATAGGAAGGATATTATTAATTTGGAGACGGTGGAGAAAAGATTTCCAAAGGTTTGAGTTATAAGGAGAGGCTGGATAAGCTGCTTCAAAACTAGAGGGCATAATAAATGGGGAAGAATTTAAAAGGGTCCTAAGGGGCAACTTTTTCACACAGGATGGTTCGTATAGGAAATTAACTGCCAGAGGAAGTGGTAGATGTAGGTATAGTTATAACATTTAAAAGATATTTGGGCCTGTATGTGTATAGGAAGGATTTGGAGGGATAAGGCTCAAACACAGGCAAGTGGGACTGATTTAGTTTGGTAAACTTGGTCGGCATGGGCAAGTTGGACCGAAGGATTTGTTTCCATGCTGTATGACTCTGTAAATCTTTTAGTTTCATTCAAGAATTTCACTTGCTTTATTTTTGTTTTTCATGATGTATGGAGCTGCTACCTGTGACTTGATTCAGAGTTCCATGACCTTGGAAAAACCAAGGATGCAATCTGTTGAATATTTTTTAAAAATGCAACCAGTTGCATTTGCAAAGTTACACATCAGATCAGTTCTCAGTCTGATGTTCTAGCTAGTATTGTGTTCAGTGGGATGGCTATTCATATTGGCATATCAAAGAGCAGTCTGACAAAAAAAGGAAACATTTCATACATCCCTGCAGAAGTATACCTGTACTTTAACATGTCATTGCGATGGGCTAGTATATAGAGTTCCCTTCTAAAGAAGACTGACTAAGTGACTTTTTCATAAATAAAATAAGAATAGTGATATTTGGGATGAGATTTATTTTCCTGCTGTGCACATAGCCTGAATGTATTACAATATTGTGATCCATTTCCTCCAAACAGTATATGTTCAGATGCTGCTTCAGGAAAAGAGATGAGTGATGGTTATGAAGGAATTCATGCCAGCGGGAAACAGGAGAACAAAAGCTCAAGGAAACATCATAAGAGGTCTACACGTACTCGGTCACGTCAGGAAAAGGCCAGTAAGCCAAAGCTGACTCTTCTTAATGTGAGTATTTGAAAATATTGTATGTAAAAGCCTGGTCTGCCAGTTAGTAGCTTGCACTATCTTAAATGCATAACTGATATTCAATTCCTTACAGGTGTCAAATGTGGGAGATAAGATGGTAGAATGCCAACTGGAAACTCATAATCACAAAATGGTAACCTTCAGATTTGATTTGGATGGTGATGCTCCAGATGAAATAGCAAGTTATATGGTAAGTATTTTTATTGAGAATTTAAAAGAATCTGTGAACTTTGATTTGATTTATTGAAGTATAATCGAACATATTCTTTTTCTTCGTTTTGGTGAAATAAGTACTTTTTAAAAGATATTTTGTAATTTATTTATTAGGTAGAGAATGATTTTATACTGGAAACGGAGAAGGAGATTTTCATTGAACAGATGAAAGATATAATGGACAAAGCAGAGGATATGCTCACAGAAGAAACAGGTGGAGAAAGTGGCTGCATTCATAGTACAATTATACAAGAAGTTGCTGGGAAGTCTGAGATTGATGGTCAGGTATTAACTTATTTTGTTAAACTCTTGGTTTATCATTGAACTCTGAATAAGTAAGTCCAACATTTGACTTCTCTGATTCATTTGATACTAACTGGATATCTGGTGATTGACTAATAAATACATATTAAATAAGTGAAGTGGCACTCAATAGAGCACACACCTCTGCCATGCTGTATGGACACAACAGTATAATGACTATGCAGCTCTTAATTGAGGATTTTCCTTAGTTGATGCTCGCTAATTATAAAACTCAAAATAAATATTTTAATTAAGAACTTGCAACTCACTGAGGAAGCTTCAGCCAATCCAATGCAACAACTTGCTCTGAAAACTCTGCTCCTTCTATGATCAATGTCACCACAGCAGTTGAGACAATTTGCAGCTGTCAACTATCAACAACATTCTAAAAGAAACAACGCACAACGTTCTTGGAAAAAAGTCAATTTACCTTATTTGCAAATGTCAACGGGATCCTTTAAAAAATAACCAGGACTCAGAATCACATCTTTGCCAAAATTAATGAACTATTCCCTGGTTCCTTGAACATCTGGAGGACTAAGTATAGTTTTAGTTTTCTTCAGGAAAATATATAATTGTGTTAGAAGCAATCAGAGAAAGTTAACCCGACCTATCCCTAGGATGAAGGATTTATCCTATGAAGAAAAGTTGAATAGATTGGCCCTGTACCAATTGGAATAATGAAGAATAAAAGGTGATCTTGAAACATAAGATTCTGAGAGTACTGGATAGGATGGATACTGGGAGGATGTTTCTTCTTATTGGTGTGACTGGAACCACAGGGACATAATGTAAAGAATAAGAGGCCTTGCTTTTAAGATGGAATTTAGAGGGTCTTCCCCTCCACCCAACTGAAGAATGTTCCTTCATTGAGTGCTGTTCTCATGAAAACAATGCAGGCTGAGTCAGAATTTATTCAAAGCAAAGTTAGATAAATTTTGGATAAGCAAAAGTGTTCAAGGATTACAGGTCACAAACAGCAAAATGTGGTTAAGACCACTGCCAGATCAGCCATGACCTTATTAAATGGTGGAGCAGGCTTGAGTGGTTGAATTGCTCCTGTGTACCTATGTTCCAATCTAATGATTATACCATTATCTCTGTCATCTGCAGATGCCAGTTTCTCTACAATCGCAACAGAATGGTAAGCAATGTTAAGTCCTGTACTTGAGTAATATCTTGTTTATAACTTGACCACAAAGCAATAATTTTCATCTACTTCATACTTGCTTTAAGAGAGTGTTTTGATGGGAAAAGTCTGGTGAGTTTTTTCACAACTGCTTGTTTTCTGAAATAGTAAAGAACTGCTGTCCCATGACATCTAAATGCAGAACTATATGCAACAGCTACTGAGATACAGTTACTATTGGCATGAATTTCAACTCCCTGAATAGATTACTTGTGTACAAATTGACCCCTATATTTTTGCCTAAAAATTGATTTCAAGAACTCCTTTTACACAAAAACATTTGGTATTTTCTATTGTGAAACTGAAGACACTTCATTGTTTACTTTTTTTTGAATGGAATCAGCATAGTTTTGAAATGTTCCATGTTTGGGCGACAATGGCAAGATCAACAGATTCAACTTTTTTTATGCTTTTTAACACAATCATCCTGAGGTCCTTCACAGGAGCATAAAGTAACAAAATTTCACATTGATCCATGGAAGAGGTATTAGGCCAGGTGGCAAAAGTTCTGTCAAGACTTCTTTAAGGAATGATTTAAAGGCAGATGAAGAAGGTGCAGGGATGAAAGTGAATTCCAGAGCTTGGGGCATAAATTGCTGAAGGCATGGTCAGCAATAATAAAGTGATTGAAATCAGGAATACTCAATTGGTTACAATTTGCCGATTGCCGTAAAGCTAAAGGATAGTACAGAGGTGGAACAAAGCGATGAAGAAATTGAAAAACAAGTGAAAAAAAACTAAGATTGAGGCTAGACCAGAAACTCTTGTTGGACAGCAAATGTGATGAGAATGGGTGAATGGGACTTAGTGCAAGTTAGTACATGGGCAGCAAATTTTGAATAACCTAGTTTGCAACAATTGATATGATATTTTCTGGGCATGTATTGAAATAAGGCCAGAAATAACAAAGGCAAAACTGATTGCCTCAGCTCATTAGCTTCTGAAACTATGTTGAAGTCCAGCAATGTAGGACTAGGTGGTCTCTGCGATGGTGTAGATGTATGGTTGGAACCTCATAGATGTCCTATATTGCATCAAGGTTATTATCAGCCTGATAGTGATGAAGGAGATGTAAAGAAACAACTTTGTGACTGGGATCAAAGTTGATGACTTCTGCCTTTCTACTATTTAATTAAAGAAAATTTCTACTCATCCTATACTGGATATCAGGCAAGCTGTCAATTTTCAAGAGAAGCGGAGGAGAAGTAGAGTTGGATATCATCATTGTATAGATGGAAGAACATGCTATGATTTTGGATGATGTCTCCAAGTGTCGGCATGTAGATAATATAGTTAAAATGCCAAGGATAGAACTTAGAGAAGCACCAATGTTGATCATCTACAAGTGAAAAGAGAGGCCATGAGAGGTGACTTTGGTTACAACAGAATGGGGCAGATTTTTTGCTGGCCATGCAGTTATTCCAGGGTGTTTAGGAGTTGTGTATGGAAATCCTGCAGAATCTCCAGTGTAGCGCACCATAAAAGAATTGCCTGGGAAATTGAGTTTTCACTGAGGCGTTTACTCAACACTAGGATCCATTCGACAGTCTCCATTTGAATCGGAGACTTCTGATGAAATTAAGTAAAATAGTCAAGAAAAGTTAGAACGTACACTATATAGTGAATGGCATACCATTTGATTGTCATAATACAACATTTTGCAGCTTACCACTTTCTTGAGGATAACTGGGAGCTGGGCAATGATTGCTGCCCCAGCAAGTGACACCCTCATCCAATTAATGAATAATAGAAAATTTCCTCCATCAGAATATTAAGCTGTTTCAGATAACTCTGACTAATGTAACAAATAGCATATTTCTCTAAGGTGCGAGAGTCATAGAGATGTACAGCGTGGAAACAGACCCTTCAGTCCAACTCATCCATGCTGACCAGATATCCTGTATAAATCTAGTCCCATTTGCCAGCATTTGGCTCATATCCTTCTAAACCCTTCCTATTCCTATACCCATCCAGATGCCTTTTAAATTTTGTAATTGTACCAGCCTCCTCCACTTCCTCTGGCAACTCATTCATTACACGCACCACCCTCTCCATGAAAAAGTTACCCCATAGGTCCCTTTTAAATCTTAGCCCCTCACCCTAAACCTATGCCTTCTAGTTTTAGACTCTCCCACCCTGGAGAAAAGACCTTGTCTATTTACCCTATCCATGCCCCTCATGATTTTATCACCTTCTATAAGGTCACTCTTCAGCATCTGATGCTCCAGGGAAAAATAGCCCCAGTCTGTCCAGCCTCTCCCTATAGCTCAAACCCTGCAGCCCTGGCAACATCCTTATAAATCTTTTCTGAACCTTTTCGAGTTTCACAACATCCGTCCTATGGAAGGGAGACTAGAATTGTATGCAATATTCCAATTGTGGCCTAACCGATGTCCTGTACAGCCGCAATATGACCTCCCAACTCCTATACTCAAATGCACTGACCAATAAAGGCAAGCATACCAAACACCTCCTTCACTATCCTATCTACCTACAACTCCACTTGCAAGGAACTATGAACCTGCACTCCAAGGTGTATCTGTTCTGTAATACTCCATAGGACCTTACCATTAAGTGTATAAGTCTTGCCCTGATTTGCCTTTCCAAAATGCAGCACTTCAAATTTATCTAAATTAGAACATAGAACAGTACAGCACAGTACAGGCCCTTCAGCCCACAATGTTGTGCCAAACTTTTACCCTAATCCTAAGGTCTATCGAACCTCCACCCTTACCTTATACTATCATCTATGTGCCTGTTTAATAGCCGCTTAAATGCCCCTAATGAGGCCGACTCCACGACCCTCTCCGACAATGCATGCCACGCCCCTACCACTCCGAGTAAAGAACCTACCTCTGACGTCTCCCCTGTATCTACCTCCACTCACTTTAAAACTATGCCCCCTCGTAGTAGCTACCTCCACCCTAGGAAAAAGTCTCTGGCTGTCTACTCTATCTATACCTCTGATCATTTTGTACACCTCTATCAAGTCACCTCTCATCCTTCGTTGTTGTAAAGAGAAAAGCCCTAGCTCTCTCAAACTTTCCTCGTAAGACCTTCCCTCCATTCCAGGCAACATCCTGGTAAATCTCCTCTGCACCTTTTCCAATGCCTCCACATCTTTCCTGTAATGGGGCGACCAGAACTGGACACAATGCTCCAGATGTGGCCGAGCCAGGCTTTTGTATAGCTGGAGCATAACTTCATGGCTCTTGAACTCGATCCGTCTATTAATGAAAGCTAACAAACCATATGCCTTCTTAACAATTCTATCCACCTGGGTTGCAGCGTTCAGGGAACTGTGAACATGAACCCCAAGATCCCTCTACTCCTCCACACTGCCAAGAATCTTTTCGTTAACCCTGTATTCTGCTTTCACGTTTGTCCTTCCAAAATGAATCACCTCACACTTTTCAGGGTTAAACTCCATCTGCCACTTCTCAGCCCAGCTCTGCATCCTATCAATGTCCCTTTGTAACCTAGAACAGCCCTCCGCACTGTCCACAACGCGACCCACCTTTGTATCCTACGTGAACTTGCTAATTCATCCTTCCACTCCTTCATCCAAGTCATTTACAAAAAGTCACAAATAGAAGAGGACCCAGGACAGACCCTTGTGGTACATCACTTGTAACTGAGCACTATGTTGAATATTTTCCATCCACTACCACCCTTTGTCTTCTAAGGGTCAGCCAATTCTGAATCCAATCTGCCACATTTCCCCCTATCCCATGCCTCCTTACCTTCTGCATGAGCTTACCATGGGGAACCTTATCAAACGCCTTACTTAAATCCATGTATACCACATCCACTGCTCTACCTTCATCCACGTGTTTGGCCACCTCTTCAAAGAATTCAATAAGGTTTGTGAGGCATGATCTACCCCTCACAAATCCGTGCTGACTATCACAAATCAAACTGTGCCTTTCCAAGTGATCATTAATCCTATCTCTCAGAGCCCTTTCCAATAATTTGCCCACCACTGATGTAAGACTAACTGGCCTGTAATTTCCAGGGTTATCCCATTCCCTTTTTTGAACAAGGGAATGACGTTTGCCTCTCTCCAATCTTCCGGCACTATACCCGTGGACAGTGAGGATGAAAAGATCATCGCCAAAGTCCCTGCGATCTCTTCCCTCGCTTCCCATAGAATCCTTGGATAAATCCCATCAGGCCCGGGGGACCTATCTATCTTCAACTTCCTCAAAATTCCTAGCACATCTTCCTTACTAACATCGACCTCCTCTAGCCTACCAGCCTGTTTCTCACTGTCCTCCTCTACAACTAGGTACCTCTCAGTTGTGATTACGGAAGAAAAGTATTCATTAAGGACCTCTCTTATCTCTTTAGGCTCCGTCACAAATTCCCTTTGCAATCCTTGATCGGCCCTACCCTTTCTCTGGTCATTCTCTTATTCCTCACGTACGTGTAAGAAGCCTTCGAGTTTTCCTTGATCCTATCTGCCAAGGTTTTCTCATGCTCCCTTGTAGCTCTCCTAAGCTCTTTCTTCAGCTCCTTCCTGGATAACTTGTATCCCTGTAGAGCCTTTTCTGTTCCTTGTTTCCTAAACCTTACATAAGCATCCTTCTTCCTCTTAACCAGTCATTCAACCTCTCTTGAGAACCAAGGCTCCTTCACTCGACCGCATCTTCCCTGCCTGCTAGGGACAAACATATCGAGCACACGCAGTATGCATTCCTTAAACAATCTCCACATTTCAATAGTGCTCTTCCCTGACAGCATCTGTTCCCAATTTATATTACCTAGTTCTTGCCTAACAGAATTGTAATTACCCTTCCTCCAATTATAAACCTTACCCTGCTGTATGTACCTATCCTTCTCCATGACTATTGTAAAAGTAACAGCGTTATGATCACTACTGCCAAAATGCTCTCCTACCAACAGGTCTAACACTTGGCCCAGTTCATTGCCAAGCACCAAATCCAAAGTGGCCTCTCCTCGTGTTGGTCTATCTACATACTCCTTCCTGAACGCACTGGACAAAATCTGCTCCATTTAACCTATTGTAACTAAAATGTTTCCAATCAATATTTGGAAAGTTGAAGTCATCCATGACTACCACCCTGTGACTTCTGCACCTTTCTAGTAACTGCCACCCAATCCGCTCCTCTACTTCTCTGCAACTATTAGGGGGTCTGTTTTATTAAAAAAAAAAAAAAAAAACCCCAACAAAGTGACTGCTCCTTTGTTGTACTGGACCTCAACCCAAACTGACTCTGTAGACAACTCATTCTCGAACTGTCTTTCAGTAGCTGCTATACTAGCCCTGACTAGCAATGCCACTCCCCCGCCTCTTTTTCCACTCTCCCTATTTCTTTTAAAGCATCTGAATCCCGGAACTTCCAACAACCAGTCCTCTCCCTGAGTTACCCAAGTTTCTGTAATGGCCCCAACATCGTAGTTCCAAGTACCGACCCATGCTCTAAGTTCATCCGCCTTATTTCTGATACTTCTAGCGTTGAAGTATACATACCTCAAACCATCTCTAAGTCCACAATTACACTCCATCGACCGCATTTCTTTATAAACAACCTCGCTCCCTGTTGTGTCCGTTGGAAGGCTGAATACCTCATCCTCCTAATTATAAATCTGGTTCCCCACCCCTGCCAATCTAGTTTAAACCATCCCGTATAGCTCGAGCAAGCCTCCCTCCCAGGATATTTGTGCCCTTCCGGTTCAGGTGCAACCCGTCCTTACTGTACAGGTCCCGCCTTCCCCAGAATGTGCTCCAATTATCGACATAATGGAATCCCTCTCTCCGACATCAGCTCTGTAGCCACGTGTTTAGTTGCACACTCTCCCTATTTCTTACCTCGTTATCACGTGCTACTGGTAGTAATCCAGAGATAACTACCCTGTTTGTCCTGGACTCCAGCTTCCAACCTAACTCCCTGTGCTCGTTTTTAACATTTTCTGTCCTTTTTCTACCTGTGTCATTGGTACTGATGTGTACCATGACTGCTGGTTGCTCACCGTCCCCCTTAAGGATCTTGAAGACACGATCTGAGACATCGCGGACCCTGGCACCCAGGAGGCAACATACCATCCGTTCATCTCGTTCGCGTCCACAGAACCGCCTGTCTGTGCCTCTTACTATCGAATCCCCCAATACAATTCCTTCCCTTCTGTGCCACAGGGCCAGGCTCAGTGTCAGAGACCTGTCCGCTATGGCCTTCCCCTGGTAGGTGTCTCTCTTCCCCCACCCCCCCAAACAGTATCCAAAACGATAAACTTATTATTGAGGGGAACGACCACAGGGGATCCCTGCACTGTTTGCCTATCTCCTTTCCCTTTCCTGACGGTCACCCAGCTACTTTTTTCCTGTACCTTGGGTGTGACCACCTCCCTATAACTCCTCTCTATCACCCACTCAGCCTCCCGAATGATCCAGAGTTCATCCAGCTCCAGCTCCAGCTCCAGTTCCCTAATGTGGTTTTTGAGGAGCTGGAGTTGGGTGCACTTGCAGGTAAAGTCAGAGGGGACACCAGCAGTGACCCTTACCCCTCACATCCTGCAAGAGGAGCATGCAACTGCCCTAGCTTCCATTCCCTCTACTCTAGATTTCCAGAAGAATTTTTAAAAAAGCGTTACCTTACCAACCCTCCATACAGTCTCTTTTTTTGGCGAGAGAAGGAGGATGGGTGGGAGACACTACACGTGTAGTGTTCTGGGTTTAGCCAATGCCCAAAGGCATCAGTTCCTTACTGGCTCACATTGTGTCCACACACCTGCCGCTGAAAACAAGAAGGCTGCTGCTGCACGAGGTAAGTTTTTATACTGGAGAAAAAAACAACCTTACCTTCCCGTCGGCACTCTGGCTCGCGCTGCTGCCGCTGAAAACAAGAGGGCCGCTGCTGCACAAGGTAAGTTTTTATACTGGAGAAAGAAACAACCTTACCTTCCTGTCGGCGCACTGGCTGTAAATTAAACTCCATCCGCCACTCCTCTGTGCTTTGGCCCATCTGATCAAGATCCCGTTGTACTCTGAGGTAGCCTTCGCTGTCCACAACACTTCCAATTTTGGTGTCACCTGCAAACTTATTAACGTACGTCCTATGTTCTCATTCTAAATCATTTATGTAAATTACAAAAAGCAGTGGACCCAGCACTGATCCTGTGACACTGCTGGTCACAGGCCTCCAGTCTGAAAAGCAACACTCTACCACCACCCTCTGTCTTCTACCTTCAAGCTAGTTCTGCCAGCATTTCATGTGATCTAAACTTGCTAACCTGTCTACCATGAGGAGCCTTGTCAACCACCTTACTGAGTTCCATATAGACCACATCCACTGCTCTGCCCCTCATCAATCCTCTTTATTACTTCTTCAAAAAAACTCCATCAAGTTAGTGAGACACGATTTACCCCACACAGCCAAGTTGACTATCCCTATTCATGATCTACAAAATAAAAGAGCTAAAACGTTAAGTAAATTGTTATATTTTGATAACTTGTAATAAATTCTCATAACTGTTTCATCTTTATTAGTCCTGCATACAGGCCGAAGGTGGTTTATTGTATGTCCGGTTGTGGAAAATATTGCAACAGAACTTTCAGAATCTGCATCAGGTGTTCCTTCAACTCAACCACAACCAACTTCTACTTCGGGTATGATTTAAGTTTTTGTAACTGTGGAGATGGCTTGCATTTCAAACTGCACATTGTAACAAAGGTTGACATTTTAACAAAAAGGAAAATGAAAGATAAATGTTCCTCACAAAATGTAACACGGAAATGTTTCATGTCCAAGTCCCTTAAATAATTCACCATTTTACATCCCATTTGAAACATATTAAAGCTCTAGTAGTATCTTAGCGTTTGCTATTTAGTTATGTGCTATAAGTTAATTTTAACTTGAACGTATAGTTGTGAAACAAGCCTATAATTAGTTTCTAAATTGCAACAAAAAAAAATTCTTCATTAGTTACACCTTTGGTATTTACTTTTCCAGAAGCAGAACTAGGAATTGATGAGCAAGTTGAATCTATAGCATCTGCTACAAATGATAGCACCTCTGGACATCGTAATGCATCTCCACCTTTGGTACCAGTGCTGTCTAATATTATTTATCCAACAAATCTAGCTGCACAAGCAACAATGTCGCCCCTTATTTCTACACTATCAATCCAGAGGGAGGATAAAACTGTAAATGAAGCACAACAGAGCAGTCACTGCATATATACTGCTGTTTCCAATGGATCGGATATTTCATTTCAAAGCCAACTTGCAGTTCATGAGCATTTAGAAGTTTGTTCTACATCTGTGGTTCCACTGCAGTCAGAAGAAGAACAATCAGATGTGGTTTATAGCCCCCCTGTGGTTGTAGATATGAAATGTTGTCCTGTTGTTCACCCTCTTCCGATCCAATCAATATCTACACAAACAGAGCATAATCTTCCTGCTCAATATCCTGAACTTAGCCCAATTCACAGTGTGGTCTTGGAGCACCAGTCTGTACCACAAGCTTGTGTTCCTGACATTATTCCACAATCTGTTGTAAAGCAGCAACCTTTTGCAAACCAGATGCAATCAGCTGTGGGCATTTCTGGAGCAGTCATTAATACAGCAATGGGTTCTCAGCCCCAGAGTCCCGCACAAGTAGTTCCAGGTGTTAACCAGCAATTTGCACAAGCGCAGTCTCAGTCAATTACTTTGACTGGTATTATTAGCAGTCAGCAACAACTTTCTCTCGTGGTTGAATCAGACAGTGAAGGTCCACGTAAAATTGAATTTGTGGATAATACAATAAAGACACTGGATGAAAAGTTACGCACTTTATTATATCAAGAACCTGGTGGAATTCTCCCTGCATATCCTGCTGCAGAATCTTCTGAAACTGTTGCTTTGGGAGATGTGGGTTGCACCGAAGAGCTTTATGCTGAGCCCCTTGGTGAAGTCCTAAATGCTGCACTTTCTGTGGCCGTTTCTGTTCATGATGTAAAGAATATAGATGCACCTATCCATTCTGTTTTACCAATAACCCAAGTCCCTATTATGGGGTCACCACCAAGCTTGCATTCTTTGCCTGCAGAGTTACCTGAAGAAACTTCTAATCAAGTTGTTCTTAGAGAGGTTCTGTATCAGCGTGTGAAAGCACCAGTATTACCTGTAATGGGAGACTCCATTTTGGCTTCAAAAGCCTTAGAGACCGGATCCACTGATATTACTGTAAGTCATGTTTGCTTTCTCCTTTGTCTTTGGGAGTTGATTTACTATTGAATTTTAAAAATTTGAATTTCTAAATTGTCCCTGCATACATAAATCTATGTTTATTTTGCATAATAAATTCCAGTAGATTGCTTAAAGTTAGGATAGAATTAAATTTTCAAACCCAATTTTACCTGCATTTGTGACTGGTAGGTAAATTGCAAGCTAACCTGTAAAATGTCAATTTTGAAGAGGTATTCTCCCAGTTGTTTTTTGTACTTGAGTGAAGGATCGAAAGAATGGCATTGAAAGAATCGGAAAGATTTTGATTACTTACATATCATAATCATTCAGATTCCTGTTCTTTTTTTAATTTGGTATCAATCTTTAAAATATTAGAGTGTAAATTTTGAAGTATGCCTTAAAAAGATTAAAATAGATATTTATTCCAGTGCTGATGATGCACTCAGAATTGATAACACTAATGAATGTTTTGGTGATTTGACACAGCTGGGTCAATCAAAGTCCAAGTTTAAAAGTAAAGTGCTATAATTTCAAATCAGGCAGTAACTGGCTTGAATTAAATGTATAATCTCTACAGAGTATTTTTTGAATGGTGTTTTTCTCAGTATGTTGATGGCCAGAGAAATTTGACATATAATATTCCCTGTAGTTTCATTTGCTGCAGTGTCGACTCCGATTCTGTGTACAGCAGTGGCTTTTGGAAACAAGCTATTTGTTAGCACATTGATACAGGCAAAACTTCCCTGTGACTGCTCCACTTCAAGGGAACATTGCTTTGTCTTCATTGTACAGATATGAATTGGATAGAGAAGTGGCATGTTAATTTTTATTGCAAGGGGATTGAAGTATAAGAACAACAGACTTTTGTGACAGTTGCATAGAGCTTTGAGATGGCGCTCATGTACTCTCTGCAGTTTTGATCTCAATATTTAGAGAAGGATATACCTGCATGGCATGTAGGTAGTACAGAGAAGGTTCAGTAGATTGATTCCTGAGGCGAGAGGATTGACTGTTGTAGAGTGAAAAAGTTAATTGGGCTGATACACTCTAGAATTCAGAAAATGAAAGTTGATCTCGAAGAGCTTGTATATTAGATACTGAGATTCCCCAATCTCAAGATAAGTGGTTGATCAATTAGGACTGAGATGACGAGAAATATCTTCACTCAAATTACTGAGTGTCTTCGGAATTCTCTACCCCAGGGGATTGTGGGTGTTCTATTTCAATTAAATTTAAGTTGAAATAGAAAGTGTTTTTAGTGTCAGGAATTTAACAGGTAATGGGACTGAACAGGAAAATGGAGATGAGACTGAAAATCAGCCATGTCTGTAATAGATGCTGCAGTAGGTTTGAGGGGCTTTGTGGCCTGTTCCTCATATTTCTTATTTTTTTGAACTAAAATTCCACAAATAAAATCAGTCCATGAGCTCCCACTCTCTCTCCCAACCCCTAACTCATAAATTACATTTGAATCTGTTTCTGTAATCTGCTTCATGATCCACAGGAGAAACCTCAACGTTTCCCTGAAATACACCATGAATACACCATGAACCTGGGAGTGCATGGTGTAATGGTGACTGTGCATTAGCGCAGTTCCTGCTGATTGATATTGTCCAGATGATCTCATATAGTTGGGAATATTGTCTATTTTGCAGGTACACCAGCCACTCACTGAGGGCCGAGAGGCTGAGACTGAGCAAGCATTGTGGCGTTACTACCAAGGCCACTCTCTTTGCCTTCCCCAATTGCTGTTGGGAGGTGGTGATGTGTTAACCTTCTAATAACATCAAGAACGTGGACCAATGTTCACTTGTATCAAAGTACCAAACTGACCAACATATATCCACCGATTGCATTGAATGCAGAAATCATGCAGAATTAAATTCATACTGACAGACAGACTATGATCTTGAGTCATGTACATGCAAAGGACCATGGCAGTGCTTCACAAAGTATTTTTTAATGGAACTCCCCATTTTAACTCCTCTGGTGGGGTATCCATATATTTTTACCCAAATGAATATCTCCTGTTCGTGGTACATGAAGTGCTACGTGGAGCATTGAGACAATCTTTCTTCCAGACCTGCTGTTTGAAGGATATCATTTGTACTTAAACTGCTAAAAAGTGATGGATCAGCTTTCATGGTATCAAAGAACACAAAGAGACCTTTTGTGTCTGTGCTATGTCTTTTTAACTGCATAAATATTTTTATGGGTGGGAAGTAAAACTGTGCTGTGAGTGCTATTGATGAGAAGATGGAGGAGACAGTGGAATTTTTATAGTATGGATAGGGAACCTGAGAAGTGCAAATTGAGAAACCCTGCAGTACATCACTGAAACAGGGAATAAGGGCACTTACCAGTCCTGAGTTTTTCTAAAACACACTTTGTGGAACTCTGTATCAATGGTGATTAGATGTGAAAATAGTAACTGTGCTTTGTGCATGTATTAATCTGTACGTATGAATGTTTCTTGTGGAGGCAATTTATCGGGTGATGGTAGATTGCGAACTATGTTGCAGAACAAAAAGTCACTGGAGCTGGCTATAATTTTTGGAGAATAGAGCATTTGCCCTGGCTAGCAGGGATAACGGTTTCCATAAACATTGCCTAATTTCCTGTTCATTTTCATAACAAAGATAATTCAGGATTTAACTAAAGGAAAAGCACAAACATACGTTTTGCTGAAAAAGACTTGATTGTAGGGAAACTGGATCTTAGTATTACTCTGTTCTTGTAAGTAAATTATCACATTCAGGTCCCTTTTTTATTTTTAATTCACGATTCTTGCAAGTGTGGCAAGAGGAAGTGGGTTTCAACAGTCATTTTCAGCAATATTGCTCCCTTTGTTGAATGTCTTGCTAAAAGTTCACAGCTAAGTGGTTTGGCTATTCTACCTACATCTCCTATTCCTTCCAATGAAGTAAACAAACACCAAAATTGGCGGAGAAACTCAGCTATGGCGGCATTTGTGAAGAGAAAATGGTTTACATTTTGAGGCCAGTGACCCTTCTTCAGAACGGGTCCAGTGATCTAGTTAAGAGGAAGAAGGAAGCTTACTTAAGGTTGAGGAAGCAAGGATCAGACAGGGCTCTAGAGGTCTACAAGGTAGCCAGGAAGGAACTGAAGAATGGACTTCGGAGAGCTAGAAGGGGGTATGAGAAAACCTTGGCGGGTAGGATCAAGGAAAACCCCAAGGCTTATGTGAGGAACAAGCGGATGGCCAGAGTGAGATTAGGGCCAATCAGGGATAGCGGAGGGAACTTGTGCACGGAATCAGAGGAGGTAGGGGAGGTCCTTAATGAATATTTTGCTTGTTGTTAGGAAGGAGGATGTGCTAGAAATTTTGAAAAACATGAGGATAGATAAGTCTCCTGGGCCAGACAGCATATACCCAAGGTTACTACGGGAAGCGAGGGAAGAGATTGCTGCCCCTTTGGCAATGATCTTTGCATCCTCACTGTCCACTGGAGTAGTACCAGAAGATTGGAGGGTGGCAAATGTCATTCCCTTGTTCAAGAAAGGGAATAGAGATAATCCTGGAAATTATAGACCAGTCAGTCTTTCTCCTGTGGTGGGCAAATTATTGGAGAGGATTCTGAGAGATAGTAGTTATGATTATTTGGAAAAACACAGTTTGATTAGAAATAGTCAGCATGGCTCTGTGAGGGGCAGGTCATGCTTCACAAGCCTTATTGAATTCTTTGAGGATATGACAAAACACACCGATGAAGGTAGAGCAGCGGATGTGGTGTATATGGATTTTAGCAAGGCATTTGATAAGGTTCCACATGGTAGGCTCATTCAAAGTAGGGAGGCATGGGATTCAGGGAAATTTGGCTGTCTGGATACAAAACTGGCTGTCCAATAGAAGACAGAGGGTAGTAGTAGATGGAAAGTATTCAGCCTGGAGCTCGGTGACTAATGGTGTGCCGCAGGGATCTGTTCTGGGACCTCTGCTCTTTGTGATCTTTATAAATGACTTGGATGAGGAAATGGAAGGGTGGGTTAGTAAGTTTGCCAATGACACGAAGGTTGGTGGAGTTGTGGACAGCGTGGAGGGCTGTTGTCGGTTGAAGTGGGGCATTGACAGGATGCAGAGCTGGGCAACGAAGTGGCAGATGGAATTCAACCCAGAAAAGTGTGAAGTGATTCATTTTGGAAGATCGAATTTGAATGCTGAATACAGGGTTAATGGCAGGATTCTTGGCAGTGTGGAGGAACAGAGGGATCTTGGGGTCCACGTCCATAGATCCCTCAAAGTTGTTACACAAGTTGATAGGGTTGTAAAGAAAGCGTATGGTGTGTTGGCTTTCATTGGCAGGGGAATTGAGTTTAAGACCTGTGAGGTTATGCTGCAGCTTATAAAACCCTGGTTAGACCACACTTGGAATATTGTGTCCAGTTCTGGTCACCTCATTACAGGAAAGATGTGGAAGCTTCAGAGAGGATGCAGAGGAGATTTACCAGGATGTTGCCTGGACTGGAGGGCAGGTCTTGTGAGGAAAGGTTGAGGGAGCTAGGGCTTTTTTCATTGGAGCTAAGAAGGATGAGAGGTGACTTGATAGAGGTGTACAAGATGATGAGAGGCATAGATATAGCCAGAGACTTTTTCCCAGGGCAGAAATGACTATTATGAGGGGGCATAATTTTAAGGTGATTGGAGGAAGGTATAGGGGAGATATCAGAGGTAGGTTCTTCACACAGAGATTGGTGGGCGTGTGGAATGCACTGCCGGCAGTGGTAGTGGAGTCAGATACTTTAGAGACTTTTAAGCGACTCTTGGATAGGCACGTGGAGGATAGTAAAATGTTGGGTATGCAGGGCAGACTGATCTGAGTAGTATAATAGGTCGGCACAACATCATGGGCCGTAGTGCCTGTGCTGTGCTGTACTGTTCTATGTTCTATGTTCTATGAAATGCCAAGTTCCAATAATCTTACCAGTTTGATTATGATCCAGAACAAATTCACTGAAACGTCATACTACTATCATTT